CTTCAGATCTTAATGATGACGGTGAGCACTGAACTAATGGTAGATCAATATCCATACTCATCTCAGTGACAGCATTCTCATGAGCACCATCACTAATTCTATCGCCGCTTGGTACTTGGGCAGCCTCCTTATCCACTGGCATATCATCTTGAGACCCAATACCAGTATTTAAAGCACCACAGGCAACTGAGTCTAACCCTAAATCCTTCTCTGGATGGTCACCAACAGTAACATTGCCATCGGTCTTAGCAAGCAGCATAACATCATTTTCTACACTGCCACAGCCTGTTATATCATTATCTCTAGCGATAAAAGCATTCTCACTATCCAATAGTTCATCATGGTTTTCTGAAACTGACTGCTTCTCATTCATCAAATCTTCATTGGGATCATCCGAACTGACGCCGTTACCAACTCCAGGTTCAGTAGCATCTGTTTGTTGCTTCCTAGAAGCTGCACTTCTCATGTCAAACAGCGCACTTAACTGTGACTGCACAGAAACAGCCAAAGCAACTGCATGATCACGGATTAGAGAATCATTTGGAGGGCAGTGAAGGATATTCATTAATATCCTCCTATACTCAAAGAGACTAGTAGATGATGTTGCCAAGCCCTTATCCCGATAAACCCTAGCTGATTTAATCACATGCTTACAAAGATTCCCCATCCTTGACCAACTACAGCTGCATATTGCAAACTCCGAACCTGGGTTTTGTACAATATGAAACACCGCTCGATCTCTACTGCTAAGAACTTTCGCATTTTTTCCATCCACAATAACATCTGAATCAGGAATCTGCAACGCCATCCTCCAAGATGACAAGCCACTTTTCCACTCATTTTTCCAATATCGGGCAAAATTTTCTTTGCCAGCATACTCATCTAGCCAGTAATATGAATGCACCTTGGTACCTAGCTTATCAACAAGCCAATCCGCACGTTGGTAAACGCTTGCATCCTCCTCATTCAACAGCCTGGGTTTTAGTTGTGTGTGGTAGCATTCAATAGCTGCAGAGACCTCCGTGCTAGCAAGTGGGAGGGCCTTCAAGGCAGTAGTCCATGTCCCTACAAAATTATGGGAAAGAAGAGATAAAACTGGTCAGCTGTCTGAAAGCAAGAAGATGTTGCAGAGATCAAGACCAATACATTACCTATTCTGGGATACCATACAGCCTTAAAATAATCCAAGAAATCTGAGCAATCAACAAAATCTTCCATGAAAGACTCAAAAGACACAATATCACCTTTTCCTTTGCAGATCCTGGTTACTATTTCTCCCAGCCTCCTTGACATTTCGGCACGTATTTCAGTTTCCGGACATTTCTCCATCAAAATTTTATGCCAAGCATGACGAACACGCCAAAAGCTTATCAAGACAGAGCATTGAAAGACCTCCCTACACAAGACAAGAAGTCTATACTATAAACACGGTTGCTCAAATACAACACTGTCCATGAAAAAAACAGAATCAATTTTAAACCTGATTGTCAGCACATCCGCCAATGGATCATCAACAATGAAACCACCTAACTTCCATGTTGGGTCTTTTGAACGAACCCTATTGTAAAGAGCTCCCATCCACCTATGAATTTCACAGCTTGCAAAGTTCGGAGTCATGATCCAGGCAACGGGAATTGCATTGTTATTCGAGTCAAAAACGAGGAGACTGTAGATAGGGTACTGAATAATGATAGATAAAAGAATCAAAATTTAGCAGTCACATCAAGTGGATAACCATAGCAGCAAGAAACGATCACAACAGACCTTTAATTTGTTTGTACCAAACTTTGAATCAGCAGCCAGAACACTACGGTTGCCAAAGTTAATTAATTGCTGGAGTTGCCACTCGCTTTGAATGCCCAAAATAAAAGGTTCTGAATCAGAGAAATCTTCATAAAAGAAAATATGATCCCGATGGTTTTCAATCCACAATGAGATACTAACAGCATCATCAGAATCCAACTCATATGTGGAACGTCTGATCTTTCTCTCCAACCTCCGCACATATCTGCAAGGTGCCAAGGATACCTCATCATCCTTGATGAAATAAAGTATACTCAGCATGGAAGAAAAAGGAAGAAGGAAGCATACCGGTGACTGAGAAGATCATCACGGTTACATGGCCCCCCTTGTTTCTCAACCGCTTCAGTGTGCCTCTGCATTATGGTTTCCACAGGAACTCCAACATATAGCAAAGACATAATCTGAAGGCGTAACTCATCAGATATGTATGGAGCAAACATTGCTTGGGTTCCAGCAGCCTTTTTATCCTGAGGACCATGACAAGGTTGTCCTTTCTTGTCCACATGCTTATCTTGATTATAAATGATAAGCGCAACTGACGGTTCGGCTATTAAACGTTTCACAATGAAATGGCACACACAACCTCTCTTTGTATTTGGTCGGCCTGCAGGAGTTTTCCTCTTTGCAGAATAGCTTCTGCTCGGACGAATTACACCACCTTTTCTATGATCATCTGGGCCAAAGGAACACCAGTACCTGTAAATTCAACTGTGATTATCATGATGGACTAAGTATTAGGAAATAAGAATTATTCAAAAGCAACTCCCAACCTGTAAAATTTCTAGTCTATAAATCATAGGTTTATGGCATAATCTCTAGCTGCTTATGTCTTAAAGTAGCAGCATATAGTTAATCAATTGAAAGTTGCATGAAACCCTTACTAAAATTGTAAGATAATTAGACATATTTCTATGAAACCTAGCCAAGTCATTAACAATTTTATCATTTGATTTGATAATGAAAACTTGCAGAATTTCTTTCTGTGGATCATACCCAAAGTTAAAAGTTAAGATTACTTTCATGTACAATTGTCTCTTAAAATGCTTTATAAATGGAGCACAAGGAGAAAAGCAAAAAACCAGGTAACTATGAGCAAAATGATTAAAAAGTGAAGCAAATTAAAAGAGCAACGGAAGCAGAGCATATACATATGTCAGAAATAAGAAACTGAACTGAACTCAGTTCAGATATCTTCTTTGTACTATAGAAACTAGAAACACATTTGATCATAATAGCCAGTAAAAAGAGATAAACTTACAAGATATATTCGAGAATGCCATCAACTTTCGGTTTGTACGTCGATTCACGAGGACGTCTTCTCCTTGCTTCTACATGAAATCTAGTTGGACAATCCTTATTGTTTGATTCACCTCTCACAAAATCGTTCACTCTGGAAAAGGGAATGAGTGCAAGTCTGTCCATAGTTTCTCGCCAGCCTTCCACCCTAGACCAAACGATGTCAGCAGCAGAGAATTCTGAAGTTGGTGGATTCTGCACTGGGAGTGTCAAAATCTCATCCCACCTAGCCATCTGCATTACAAAAGACAACAAACAACTAGTATCGATAATAAAAATAAGTTTCCATTAAGACCTGGTAAATACCGCAACATTATACATGCAAGCACCCATGTTCTACAACATGTAATGAAGAAATCTTTTATCCAAATCACAAACAAAAATTTTAATTATGTACAAGCGTATAATATCAGCATTTACTGTCCCAATACAAACCAACCAAGATACAGAGCTCAACAAGATGATAATGTTATCAAATGAACTAGTATTAAGTTATCAGAGTATCATCGCAAAGCTTCTAGCAGTTGGAATATGGTGAAATAAGAAGATTTACAAGTAAAATTCAGACAATCTTTCGCAAAAGCTTGAGCACTACTCACATACATTGATGACTACAGTACGAGTTCAAAGCATGTTCACAAGCTATCAAAAATAAACATATACATGAAAACTGGACATATACACAAATGGGATTTGTTACATTAGTTGCAGAAATATGAAAGTTACAGTTTAAGTTTCAAATTCTAATTTTCATCAATTCAATAATTAGTTTTAGCTTTTCGCCCACCTTCAGAAAAATGAAACTTAGACATCCGTTATATTGTTATAATGCATTCATAGGAGGCTATAAGTTGCCCTTATTAAGGATAAAATGAAAGAATAGATGGATATTGTTTGGGCATGTGCGATAGAGGCCATTAAATGCACCAGTTAGGAAAAATGATTAGACTATAGTTAATGGGAAAAGAGGAGTAGGGTAGGCTGTAGGTCTAAGTGAACTTGGTTGGAAGCAACTAAGAGGCATATTATAATACTCAATTTTAATGGAAATATTCCCTCACAGAAATGAAATGAAGAAAGCATTCATGTAGTTGGCCCTGAAAATCTAGAATAAATGCTATGTTGTTCTTCTTCTTGTAGTTAGTACCAAGTAACATGTGTAGCACATGACTGTTGACCAATAGAGGTAATACTTGAGAATAATTGTATAAGAGAATTAGGAGAATCTTAATTTGACATGGTACTTTATTATATTATTCAAATTTTCTTAACAACTGTTAAAAAGGGAGGCCCAATGCATGAGGCTCCCACCATCATGGGGTCTAGGGAGGTTCAAATGTGCGCAACCTTGCATCATTGCGCGAAGAGGCTCTTTTCGAGACTCAAAACCTGTAACCTTCGCTAGGCTCACCCACTTCTCAACAATTCTATACACGATAATTAATTTTATTTGATATCATAATGAAAGTAAATAATTAATAAAATACAGGTTCACGTACTATCACTACTATCATATTTTCTTGTAATTAAAACGCAATCTGATTGATTGCATATTCAAAAATGAAGAAAAACCTTAAAATGATCATATGATAACATTCAATTCATTCCCTCATCATAAATATAATCGAACGAAAAGTCAATCCCTCACCTTCTTCCTCCCTGCTTCTGAAATCTAATTATCAAAGTTCAATATGTTCAATCGACAAGAAAATTAGTGACAATCTTGTTGACTACAAACCAAATATCATAATCACTTATAATATTCTAATGTGGGAGTTATGGGAGCCTAAACTCTCTCTTTCTGCTGTTCCGAGAAAGCTTCTTTTCTCTAATAAAAAAAGTCCTAAAAAGAGAGAACATGCAGGAAAAAATACTCCACTTTCCATTTTCTCCTTCAATTTTTCTTCTACATTTTTCCAGCGAATAAGGGCATGATCCAATTTGTGTAAGGCAACAGTAATAATAATTTGATATAATTTTACATAATCACTTAAAGAAAAAGTTAAGCTTTAATGCAATTTAGACCAACTAATCTAACTTAATCCATCCAAGCACATTTTCTTCAAGATGTCTGAGTATTGAACCATCACTAACTTACCCAACTCATCCACAACCAAATAATTAAAAGTAACACACCATTTCACTCATTTTATGACCTTAAAATTTTCAAATTTAAAAAATCACTTACCGCGAAATTCCAGGAGAAAAAAGGGCGGCGGAGGCTAGAAGAGGCGGCTTAAGATTGGGAAAAGAGAGAAAAGGAGCAAAACTTAATGAGTTGGGTTCTTTGATGTGCGAAAAAATTAGGGTTTTGGTGGAGAATAGGGATTTTTTCTCAGCTCGGGGCTGAGGAGAAGCAAGAGGAGCCGCGGGGTAGAGAGTTTGGGTCGGGTTTGGGTACATAGGTGAACTGGATCCGCCAGGTAGAACAAAAAAAAGTTAATTTTGCCATTTTATCTCTCGAGCACCTTTGAAGTTTGCTATATTTGACACGTGTGCCGATCAGGAAACACGTTTGTGCGCGGGGTGGCAGGGCACAACCCCCCCAACCACAACTCCAATCACACCCTTTCTCTCATTTGCTACAGTGCACCAGGCCCCACATGAGGTTTTAAATGAGGCCTGGTACACTGTAGCAAATGAAAGAGGGGGTGTGGTTGGAGTTGTGGTTGCTGGTGTGCATTTATCATTTTCCTTTTGCGCGTAAGATAGTTCAATAATATGCTTATAGATATAAATATAAATTTTGTTTTATGACGTCCGAAATGGTGCGGGCCATATTTGTAATGAAATTCTTCTTGAAACAATGTAATAGAATCTTTTAGATTCCTCAACAGAAAAAAAAACCCAAATATTATCAGGTTTGAACTTTGGTACCCTTCTTTACCAGGACGTTTGCTTAGTCATCAAAACAAGTTATGGGGCGAGCACGTGACACAAATAGATACACTTGAACACTAGAGGGGGAGTGAATAGTATTCTTTTAAAATTTATGCAAAGTATATTATAAATTGCAAAGAAAAATGGCAATCTCAGAAATTCACAATCACAAACACAAGGATTTTATACTGGTCCCACCAATCCGGTGTACATCCAGTCCCCAAGCAAATCCCGCTTGAGAGTTTTCACTATGATTTTGAATAAACTTACAAAATCAAACGCAAACCTGACCAATTTGCAAGTCCCTGTAAATTGCAACACCAATTGACAAACACCTTGCCAATTTGAACACCAATCTCTAAACCAAGAGATTAACCCTCTCAAACCCGAGAGAAATCCTTGTTGAAGTAAGAACACAATTGATCCTATAAGCCTTGAATGTGTAGTGAAGTGCAGCAGTGGCTTAGGATTCTTTTAACCTCTGTAAATTGTCTAAATGATAAGTATTTGATGAATGTTTAGAGGCAATTTCAGAAACTTTTTTTTCACAAAATCTGAATATTTTTTACTTGAAAAATTGCACAAAAATCAAAGCTTATGTGTATGTATGTCTCTGCAATTTTTCTGAACAAATAACCTATTTATAGCCATTGAAAAGACAATTTTTTAAACTTTAAAAACGTTTAAAAACGGCTATAAACAGTCACAAATTCAAACTTTGAAAACTGGAAAAACTGTATCTGTAGTCGACTACAATACACATTAGTCGACTACACTGAGTTCAAACAGACTCTGTGTATTCAAAAAAATTTCTCAGTAGTCGACTACAATGCACATTATTTGACAGAAACTGATAAAATGAAATTTGTGTTCAGTAGTCGACTATAATGATGATTAGTCGACTACACTGTAAAATGACAGAAACTTATGTTTCTGTCGAACACTTGAGTAGTCGACTATAATCTATTGTAGTCGACTATACTGTAAATTGACAGAAACATGTATTTGAGTTTTATACACGAGTAGTCGACTACTATTCTAATTAGTCGACTACTAAGAGTAAAAATTATGAAATAAAATATTTTTATACTTAAGTTTTAACTATAATTCTAATGGTTAACATAGGGGATTTCTATTGTTAACCAACACACTAAGCATGTGTTAGTGTGTTCTAATATTGTGTGTGTGCGTGTGTGTGATCAAGGCTTGTACAATTATTCTAAGTAAAGAAAATGTAAAATACATTATCTCATTTGTTCTTCATTTTCTTCACTTCAAAATGCCTTGAAATCAACTTGCACTTGTACATATTCTGATATTGAAATCTGCATATAAAAGTTAGTGCACACACTGTATAAATTGTTATCATCAAAACACTATCATGGAGATATGATATTCAACATTCTCCCCCTTTTTGATGATAACAAATAATTTATGCCAAAATATGTATTTTATAATCAGGTTAAAAAACATAATGAAATAACCATACTTACTCCCCCTGCATATATGCAAATGTGAGTCATATATAAGTCTATAACAATACATAACAATACTTACATAAAAGTACTATTTCTCCCCCTTTGTTATCAACAAAAAGAAATAAATATTTTATTTATGCTAAACATGACATTATTTCTTCAACATGAGCTAAAACTTCAAACAAATCATCCAGGTTATGAACATAGTCCATAACTTCACCCATCCAAATAGGTAGGCAAAGACTTGCCATAAAGACCAAAAGTTCCACAATGTTCATCACCATGATCTGTTTAAAATATGTAGCACATGCATTATCTAACCAAACATTATCATAGATAATAAAAACACATAATTAACATAAGTGACATAGTAGCAACATAAGAAACATATTACATAAGTCCTAACAACACACAACCACATAGTTTTTGAAACTTAAACATAATAACATAATTGTTTTGATAATTAACATAAAAAACATCTTAAGGTGCTGGAGGAGGTTGCTGTCCTTGAAAATACGTATTAAGCTTTGTGTCCAAGTCTTCAAACTTCTTGATTAGCTCTTCTTGATTACTAATGATGTATGAATTCTGTGCATATAGAGCTCTTTGACCAGTTTCAAGTTCAAGGATACGTGCACTTAAAGTGTTGTATTGCACGTCTGAAAAGCATGAGGGTTCTGTAGGAAAAGGTGGAGGTTGACTTGAAGAGGCTCCTGCTTGAGTTGAGGATTGTGGAATTTCTTCTTGATGAGGTTCAGGTTCATTTTGAGCAGGTTCATTTTGAGGAATATGTTCTTGAATTTCAAAGTTTGTCAATTTCATCCTAGTTAGGGCATTTGAATCAAAAAATTCAATTGAACGGACAACAGAATTTTCAGATTGGAGATCCACATGAAATTTGTCAAAGATTTTTGTTAAAAAGGCACCATAAGGAAGAAATCCTCTTGGAATTGTCAGAAGATTATCAAAGTAAACTTCAGCCCAATTAACTTGGATATTTCCCATTATAGCATATAGAGCTTTTGCTAAATCTAGGGAAATGAAATGAAAACTTGAAAACTGGAAAAACTGTATCTGTAGTCGACTACTATTGACATTAGTCGACTACACTGAGTTCAAACAGACTCTGTGTATTCAGAAAATTTCTCAGTAGTCGACTATAATGCTCATTAGTCGACTACACTGTAATTTGACAGAAACTGATAAAATGAAATTTGTGTTCAGTAGTCGACTATAATGATGATTAGTCGACTACACTGTAAAATGACAGAAACTTATGTTTCTGTCGAACACTTGAGTAGTCGACTATAATCTATTGTAGTCGACTATACTGTAAATTGACAGAAACATGTATTTGAGTTTTATACATGAGTAGTCGACTACTATTCTAATTAGTCGACTACTAAGAGTAAAAATTCTGCTATAAAAAGTTTTTATAATCAAGTTTTAACTATAATTCTAATGGTTAACATAGGGGATTTCTATTGTTAACCAACACACTCAGCATGTGTTAGTGTGTTCTAATATTGTGTGTGTGCGTGTGTGTGATCAAGGCTTGTACAATTATTCTAAGTAAAGAAAATGTAAAATACATTATCTCATTTGTTCTTCATTTTCTTCACTTCAAAATGCCTTGAAATCAACTTGCACTTGTACATATTCTGATATTAAAATCTGCATATAAAAGTTAGTGCACACACTGTATAAATTGTTATCATCAAAACACTATCATGGAGATATGATATTCAACATTCTCCCCCTTTTTGATGATAACAAATAATTTATGCATAATAATAATATAATCAGATTAAAAAAATATAATGAAATAACCATACGTACTCCCCCTCCATATATGCAAATGTGAGTCATATATAAGTCTATAACAATACATAACAATACTTACATAAAAGTACTATTTCTCCCCCTTTGTTATCAACAAAAAGAGGAAAAACATCTATGATAAACATGACATTATTTCTTCAACATGAGCTAAAACTTCAAACAAATCATCCAGGTTATGAACATAGTCCATAACTTCACCCATCCAAATAGGTAGGCAAAGACTTGCCATAAAGACCAAAAGTTCCATAATGTTCATCACCATGATCTGTTTAAAATATGTAGTACATGCATTATCTAACCAAACATTATCATAGATAATAAAAACACACAATCAACATAAGTGACATAGTAGCAACATAAATACCATATTACATAAGTCATAACAACACACAACCACATAGTTTTCGAAACTTAAACAGAATAACATAATTGTTTTGACACTTAACATAAAAACATCTTAAGGTGCTGGAGGAGGTTGCTGTCCTTGAAAATACGTATTAAGCTTTGTGTCCAAGTCTTCAAACTTCTTGATTAGCTCTTCTTGATTACTAATGATATATGAATTCTGTGCATATAGAGCTCTTTGACCAGTTTCAAGTTCAATGATACGTGCACTTAAAGTGTTGTATTGCACGTCTGAAAAGTATGAAGGTTCTGTAGGAAAAGGTGATGGTTGACTTGAAGAAGCTCCTGCTTGAGTTGAAGATTGTGGAATTTCTTCTTGATGAGGTTCAGGTTCATTTTGAGGATTTTGTTCTTGGATTTCAAAGTTTGTCAATTTCATCCTAGTTAGGGCATTTAAATCAAAAAAAATCAATGGAACGGACAACAGAATTTTCAGATTGGAGATCGACATGGAATTTGTCAAAGATTTTAGTTAGGAATGCACCATAAGGAAGAAATCCTCTTGGTATAGTCAGAAGATTGTCAAAGTAAACTTCAGCCCAATTAACTTGAATATTTCCCATTATAGCATATAGAGCTTTTGCTAATTCTAGAGAAATGAAATGAAAACTTCCAGTTTTTGGAAACAAGTTATAAGCTAGGATTCGTGCAATGAGTCCAGCAGTCTTGACCATCTCAGTCTCCCCCTCTGAATCAGCTTTCTCGCTCTCCTCATCGGATTCGAAGAGTCCCTTCTTACCCTTCGAAGAAGATTCCTCCTTTTTGTCTCCTCCGTTGATGAGGCCCACGAGTTAGGTAAG